CTCTATATGGGAGTAGCTTGGAGGCAATCCATCCATCGAAACCAATGGAGGGCTTCGTTGTCCAAGTAAAAAGAGGCTGTGACCGCATGCTGATGTTTCGGTACAGAATAGTAGGTGAAGTATTGCTCCACCTTATAGATCCAAGCGAGCGGGTCATCATCGTCATCGAAACATGGGAAATCCATGCGTTGATGCCACTGAGGTCGAGGAGCGAACCCTCCACCATCGAAATTCTTATGCTGATGAGGGCAAGGAGTGTCTAAGCTTCAACGATCGGTGTCCTCAGCAATGATCGGAGGAGGAGGCACCGGATCGGAGATCAGAGGATGAGTATCACCAGAAGAAGTTCCCCCACCGTTGAAAGCAAGTTCACGGCGGAATTGTTCAAGGCCCACTGCTAATTTCGTATCCATGGCCATAGCATGACTAGACAAAGCAGTGGCGATGGTTGATTCCAACGAGGTGGAGCGAGCATCGATGGAGAATTCCAGAGCAGTGAGACGAGCATCTATGGCTTATTTGAGAGAGATGTTGGTGGAGCGTGGCATACAAGAGGGAGACCAGGATCAAAATGGATGATACCAATGTTATGGGGACAAAATAATTATATCGTTAGGGCAAATCTTAGTCTTTCCCTAGAACATAGCTATGTATTTCAAAGATTTGTGATTTAACTTCCAACACTAACTAATTATAAGATTAATTATATAATTGTATAAGATAGTCATTAGGTGCCGTAATTTATCTCTCTTATCTCATAATAATTAACTTCACAAACAAGCTACTGGCAACAGACGACACCGCCGCTCTCGTATCTCCTCTACACCTTCTCATACATGCATTACATGTATATACAGCGATCAATTAGAACTGCAGCAAATGCTGCTATCTCCTTATTGTAACAAAGGAACTGCAAATTGTTCATACATGTTCTGAGTAGAAGAAGAAGATGGAGATAATTTACCAACCCTACATCGATCCGGAATTTGAATACCTCATTGAAAGAATCTACCCTCCATGGTATGTATATGAACTTCATCAACTTTGTGTTGGAGAATGCTGGAGGAAATCATATAATTGGTCTACTTATCTAATTAATTAGTCTATATTTTATCTTGTTGGTGGGTGAAAGACATGGGTTATGGAAATTCTTTATTCATTTATTTTTGTTAGTTGGGTTTTGTTTTTTATTGGCAAAGTTTGACACCCAAAGACTCAAAACCAAGGGCATAGTAGCTAGTATTGGATACCAATTTGCAATACTGATATGCCAAAGTTATCGACAAGGTACCTATAGGTTAGTTACCAGCGACCGCAGATTGGCTTGGGTACTGAACAAATATTTACCCTCAAATAATAATGTATGATACGTGCCATGATCAATGATGATCATTAGAAACTAAAGACTAAACACTTATTAATGAGCTTTTAATCTAATTTTAAGTGATTAGAAACCACACCCACTACAGTAAGCCCAACTTGACCTGCATATAAATAAATAAAGAGGATAGCAGCTGGAGAATTTAAAGTATGAGGGAAACTCTGTTCTCTGATGCCCACCGAGAGGAGGGCCACTAGGAAAGTAGAAAATATCAAATATTAGTTGTTTCCAGAGAAGGGAGGCGGTAAGCTTTTGTTTGTTGTCGTCATGTATTTTCCTTTTGCATTTCAGTTTCCACGCCAGAGTTAACAGTTCCATGCACGTTCTCATCTTTGTTAAAACTTGTCTATCCATATGCAACAAAGTTCCTGCCATGCAGTGGCAAAACCCTAACCAGATGACGTCATCTAGTTGTAAACAAACCATAAAACTGTGTTTTTTTTCTTTAACTGATAATTTGCAGGTTGACAGTGCAAACAAGCACTGGATTTTATTGGAAATGGTCCAAGTTTTGACAGATCTTGACCTTGTTATTTCCAAATCATACATATCCTCCGATGGTGGATGGTTTATGGATGGTAATTATTCTCCCTAATCCACCTTCAACATTCTTAAAATACATATGCAGTCCTTTTATTATATTCTAATAATATCATCCGATTTTATTGTATAAAACTAAATGCTTCTGAATATCCCTATTTGTTCGTATTAATCGAAAAATTGGATTTAATTCTTATAACCTTCTGAGATATGAGCGAGTCATCCACGAGTACTTGTGTGCCGGATTTTCATGTGGGTCAGTGTTCCACGAAACGGACCAACTCGGCAACAAAATCACTGACGAAAGCCTCATACTATATATACAGCAGGTTTCCTCCCTCCCTCTCTCTCTTTAGTCTCTTCTCGTTTTTCCTCTCTCACAATCAAAGAAATTTTTGTGTGTTACATATATGTATTCATCTAAATTATAAACATTAAACTCGATATGTTCCAGTGAATTTATAACACCATGCATGTCGATAATCACATAGCAGTAAATTTTACTGAATCCGTTTTGTACTGATTTTAATAGCTTGGTGGTGCAATTTTGGTTCGTTAATCTGTCTATTTAAATGATACGTAGGGGATATCCAATAAAAATTGAAACGATACGTAGTAGATAGAGCCAGGCAGCTGCATGTGCAAAATAAAACGCATCATCTCTAGCATTTATTGTTATATAACAAATTTGATCATAATCACACGTCTCACATTCTCTAATTATCATACTCTTAGTTCTGTTCTTTTATTTGGTTTTAATGATAATATTTAACAAATTTTTCAGGCACTGTGTACTAGGAGAGGTGAGATTTCAAAGGAGGCGAGAGTATGCCTAAGAAGAGAAGTAACACTAGAACTGAAGGACTTGGCCTTAGAGATGACCAGCAAGGACCGACCGGGACTCATGTCCGAAATATCGGCAGTCCTTGTGGAGTTGGGCTGCAACATTACTGCTGCAATGGTTTGGACACACAGTGCCCGGGCAGCAGGCATTTTCTACATGGAAGACTGGTTTGAAGGGAGGGCCCATCACGGATCCAATTAGACTGGTTCATGTGCAGGAGCAGCTGGGGAATGTGATTGAGGCCCATCACAAGGACGGTGAGAAGAGGAGCGGAAAGCTGACCACCCCGGCTGGTGGCCACACCCACACGGAGCGGCAGCTGCACCAATTGATGTATGCCACCAACGATTACCAAAGTTGTCGTGGTTGTGACGGCGGTGGCAATAGTGCACGCAAGAAGGGCTGTGATCAAACCCATGTAAACATAGAGAGTTGTAAGGAGAAAGGATATTGGGTTGTCAACGTGAGAAGCCAAGACCGTCCCAAGCTACTGTTTGACACTGTGTGTGCCCTAACCAACTTGCAGTACGTGGTGTTCCACGCGGTGGTTTCCTCCAGGGGCACCATGGCTGATCAGGTACATACTTTTCATTGACCTAGTGCACGGCAACTGAAATCTTTCTCGTTGTATGGTGTGTGATGCTATTTAAATACGAATATCGCGTCACAGGAGTATTTCGTCCAGCACAAGGACGGATCCACATTGAACACAGAGAGTGAAAGACACAAGCTTACTCTATGCTTGGTTGCTGCAATCGAGAGGAGGATCCCACATGTATGTCCATTTATCCGACCATTGCATCTTACGATTCAAAAATACAATCTTTCTAGCATTACTTGTCCATATTATGGAAAACGGGAATTCTTGCAGGGACTGAGGCTGGACCTCTGCGCTAAGAATCGGATGGGGCTGCTATCCGACATCACAAGGGTTCTAAGAGAGTACGGGTTATCAATATCAAGAATCTCACTTGGAATACGCAATGAGAAAGCAGTAGGATCAATCTATGTCACAGATGCTCCAGAACACGATATAAGTCCAAGCACAGTGGAGCTGGTGATAAAAGAGATCGGAGAATCCGTTATCGCAGTTCACAAATCACAAAAGTGGGCTCTTGAGGGCTCCTCGTCAAGGACGAGCCAGAAGGTAGCCAACAGAAGAGAAGAAGAAGAAAGACCAAGAATCTCACTTGGAAGCTTGGTCTGGTCACATCTGGAGCGACTTTCCAGCAGTTTTGGACCCCTCAGATCATAAGTTGCTGCTGAGTACTTGGTCCTTTAGTTTAATGTGTTGTACTGTGTGGTTGTGCCTGTAAATAAGTCTGTTGTCAGCGGTTAGCTTAGTTGATGTTTCACCTCCGTAGGTTTATTAACATCTATAACGTCCCACGTACTGGTACTGCAACACCATCGCTGCTGCAGCCACAACCATCATCAATACATCCCTAACACGTTTTATTTTCCCTCTGGTTGGACATTATCATTAATGTGTAACACATAGAAAAGATAATTCTTAGCTCCTTACGGTTGAAGAGTCATGTCTCTTTTGAGTGCAAATCGCAAGCCGACACACTAAAGTCAGTTGTACAAAGAACAAAACAAAACGTTGTACCAAAAAAAAAAAAAAAAAAAAAAGAACAGAGAGATGCCCCAAATAACAAACAGAGAAATCCCTAAAGCCGAAAAAAACTCAACTACAATAAACCTCCATAACAGAAGAAAAACAGGAGCAAATCACAGTAAAAGCTTCAGACCCGAAGCACCAAAAAAGGAATAAACAAACACAATCATACACTAGATGGTTTGAACCTTACCCTATTAGGTGAGGAGATATCGCCATTCTAGTAGGCATTCACCAAATTGTCAACTACATGTTAATTGAGGTTTAAACCAAACTAATGCAAAACAAATACATCATCAGAACATACTGAAAACTTCTGCCACATAATTCTCGAAAATGGATATAACAACCTGTTATGTTATTTGTAAAATGAGAGACTAATCTTTGTCGATAGGCTTTAGCATCTCTCAGGTCACCAGCTATAATGATAAGCTTCTTTAAACAATAACTCAACTTCTTTAAGCAATTAATCGACACATAAGTTTCATTTAATGAGAGAGACCACATTCAATTCTGTTTTCGTCTTGTTGAAATCTTCAACCTAGGTTATCAGCCAGTTTCTCACAATATCTAACCATCCCAAGGGAACAATCAAGGATTAGAAATAAAACCGATTAACAAAACACAATTTCATATGAAATAAATCCAGATTATTGCATGTTGTTGTATCTTGCTCCTCATAAATACATTCTTCATCAGAAACAATAATCGAGTAACAGTCGTTATGTACAATAATACGGTTTCCATAGCCTAACTCATACTCATGAAACATTTCACATCTATACAATAAGGTATGAATGAGAAGAGGCCATATTGACCTGAAAAGGGTTCTTATGAATTCATCATATAACATCAATGTCTTCAACATCAAGCCAGTCATTAGATTCCTTGGTCTCCAAGTTACGAGCACTTACCTGGCCAGACCCAGAATGTCTAATCTCAACAGAGTTGCTGTCCTTATCTGAATCGGCAGAGGCTCTGCTAAGTTGAACCCAATCTCTTGAGTCTTTTGTCGATGAATCAGAGCCAGATGTGACCTTCTTGTAACCTGCTGGTGCGTCTCCATCATCATCCTCCAGATCACTGAATGATACATCCTCATCATTCTCTACAGGGATGGAGGTTCCACCAACACCATCCATCTCTGAAGTTTCCTCTTTCAACCAATCATCACCATCATCCTCATATTTCTCATCCACGACTTTAGAGGAAGAATTAGAGAGTGGCAGTTGATATTTTGTCTCTTTTACTGGTCCTTCCTCAATAACAGGCTTGTCAATAATTTGGATTTCGCTACTCTGAACTGGGTGCTTGTCTGTCTCGACATCAACTGCCTGTGGGAGAGGACCTGATCTGATGGTAGACGTATTGGAAGGTGCAAAGTCAGATTGAGCACTAGGTGGCACAGAAAGATGCTGTTCTTCTGGGAAATCGGAAACTCCTTTCACATGAGTAGTGCTACTTCCTGAAGGGTCTGTCTCTGAATTTTCATTAGTTACCTTCTTAAGCTGATGAGACAACATGGCTCTAGCTTCCACTATCTGCAGACATATAATCAAGTCAAGCAAACCATAGTTGCTCAAACCAAAAATAACTAAGAAAACAAAGGCAATGAGAAAGAACAATGGAAAGGAAGTTTTGTTAGGAAGTGACTAGTCAGTGTTAATGTCCTATTTTGTTTAGGATTGTATTAGGGAAACTAAAGGTGCACAGATTCTTGTCCTGAAAGAATTAGGAAAGAATTAAGTTTCCATGTACAATTTAGATTGGGAATCCTAGAAGCATATTTGGAAAAATAAAGAAAGTGTACTTCATATTCCATATAAAATAGGAAATAAAGTACTTTCCTATTTCCATGTAGAATAGGAAACTTAATTAAAGAATAGGCATGTAAACCACACCCTATACTTATAAATAGGTGCGGCAAGGCTAGAAAACAGAGAGAAGAGCCAGAGACAGCCGAGAAAGGAAAGGGAGGGATTAGTTTTAGGGTTTGCAAAAGTACTGTAACTCTATTATTAATCAAAGACGTTGCGGTTTCTCTACCCAAAGAAATCACAACTGGACGCAGGCAAAAGTTCTGCAAAACCAGCATAAATCTTGCGTGTTTCTAGTTATTCTCTAATTTACTAAGCTTAGTCTATTGCTGGATACATCACAGAGCAAGATCTAGAGGAGAGTCAGAATTATAACAAGTTTTGGGTCAGTACTACATAGAATCAACTCACCTTAGGTGTAGACAAAAGCTCGGCATCATGTTTACCGAGTCTAGGGTGCAAGAGAACAAAATAAATCATCCAAAAGTGAGACTCGCTCATATGCTCAGGGCAAAGTTCAATTCTGAGAGCAGCCAATGATGGCACAAGCCGCTCAACAGCCAGAGCATGCTCTTGTTGAACATCAGACAATTCAAAATCTGGAAAATCAAAACTCACAATGTTCTTATTCCAAAGCCGTACAGTTTTCAAATCTATTGAATTATTGATCAAGCACAAATATTACGATTTACAACAAATTTAGCCAAATAAATTGAACAAAAAGCAGCAAATTGGCAATTACATATGAATAAAACATCTACTCGGATTTTAATATTCCCTGAAGAAATTAAAGTTTTAAGCCCTTACATCACAACCTGAACTGAGATTTAACTCATTGAATCAGAATACAATGCATTAAATTCAAAGCTGCAATTGAAACAAATTGATCATTTACGAACATTGACCATAAATCGACACTAATTTACAATAAGATAACCAAATAATTCATGAAAATAAAGCACATTGATAACTAAATAATTCATGAAAACAAAGCACATTGAATTGAATTACACAATGAAATGGTCAAATCGAAGCAGAACATACCATCTGAGTCTTCGTCCTCGTCGGGGAGAGGGAAATCGAGCCAAGTCTCCGGATGCATAGAGATATTCCTGACGAACACGAGAGCTTCCTGGGTCACACCAAAAGCAGCACCAGCTGCCTCCGCCTCCTCTTCCGATCCAAACTGAAGCAAATTCGAAGCGATCTTAGTGAACTCCGAAACCGCTATGTTACTTGACAGCTTCGAGATCCCGGTCTTGAACTTCCCGCCGATCTCCGCAAAGTCGCTGCGGATTCCGGAGATCACGTCCTCGTCGGAGGGTTCTGGATCGGAGGGATGGGCCGGGTCGGACGAGCTGGGGGGAGGAGGGGTAGTTGGATCGGGAGGCGGGGCGAGGAAGGAGGCGACGCCCCAGAACTGGCGAGTTAGGGTTTTGGTTAGCTCGGAGATGTCGCCTTTGACGGTGGGAGCCGACGGTGAATCGGATTCGGGTCGGGTTGAATTTGGGTCTGTACCATTGTTGGAGCTAGGGTTTGTGCCGTCGTAATCACCGTTGCCGTCGTCGTCGAGCTTGAGTGAGTTGGCGATGGATTTAGCCAGCCATGACATTGTGGATGGAAGAGATGACGCCGGTTCGGAAAGCTGTGAGCCCAAAGGCAAATGATGGTGTTTCCTTCTGACTTGCAGAGTCGGTCTTCTATAACCGGGAATTAAAGTGTTTCTTACGGCGTCGTTGCGTTTTATCCTAGTTTTAATTTAGCCATAGACATCTTGTGTTGCCAATCACCGTGCGTACAGTGTGCCCACAGGCAACTATTATTGGAACTTAGATAAATCGCGCACTTTTCATAACAGTAATTTTTTTTTTATATATAAAATTTTAGAGGGTCAATAATTTTTTTGAAAATTGTAGTTTTTTTTACTAATTATCTCAATTAATTAATAAAACCCTTTTTGTCAACCAAAAAACGATGAAAATACTACTTAGTCTTCTATCACACAAAAAAATGATGGGCAATAATGTAATTTCATAGGTCTAAATTTTACTATTTTTATTGAAGTCTCACCTACAGGTAATGTTTACCTCCAGTATTTAAAAAAAAAAAAAAAAAAAATCAAAAACAAAAGCCAACCACTTCCGCCACGTTCTCTCTCTCTCCCTCCCTCCTTCTCATTTTCTAAAAAAAATATGTTCATGCACACAAAGTGTGTAGGCAAATGGTAGTTATTTTTAACGAGAGAACTTCTGTTTTCTTTGCATTAAAAATAGCAAAAAAAAAAAAAAATACATACGACATACAGTGGCGAAGCTACGTGAAGGCAAGGAGTGGCGGCTGCCCCTCCCCTTGTTCAACCCCTCTGCTCTCATCGGAAATGAGAATTCCCGCTCCGGTGATCTGGTTTCTGCTGCTGCGGGGGAGACCGTCTTCAGCAATTGCCATCGTTCAAGAGAAGGACGATGAGTCGGTCTTTCTGTAGAAGAGAGTGAGAGGAGGTGGGTCGCTGAAATAGAGTAGGATTGGTGGTGGGTCGTTGAAGGAGATAAGGATTGGTGGCGGCTCGCAGTGAAATTTGGTTGTTTGTCCAGATTTGAAAAAAAAAAAAAATAGAAAATTGGGTTTTCAAATGGGTAAATTATTGTTGGATTATTGTTTGTGTTTGTGCTTATGTTTGAAACGAAGTGGTGATGATGAGAGCAATGGCAACCATGGCACACAGACGTGCGGAGATGTTAGGGACGAAAGGTATAAATAGGTTGTTTGGATGGGCGTCTTCCTTAAACATGAGGGTGTTGTTGCTACTTTTAATAAGGAAAATGGGACACTTGTTTTAACTTTACTGAGCCACATTGTAGTCAATGAAAAAAGGTACTACCTAGGCAACATCAAGTATTTTCCTTATTAACCTATTTCTCTCTTTTTTTTTTCAATTTTTTATTCTTGTATGTATTTTTATTTTCTCTTTTGAGACTCTCACTGTATTTTTCTTAAACTCTCACATTATCTATAAATATTGAATTATTTTTTAAAACAATGTAAATATTGTTTAATGCTTATTTTACGATAATCTAAATCCATTTAGTCTCTTGCTTAGATCATGCCTAGGCCTGCTAGGTCCTAGTCCACTATTTGACTAGTGCCTAACATTTTTTAGGATCTAATCCTAATCAATTTAAGCTTCTTAGATTGACTTTGATATTATTGCTTACAACCGCTTTGGTGGAAAGATTATTTTCTGCTATGAATATTGACTCAAAACTTTGCACTCTTAAAAGTGAAAGCAACCGCTTTGATTGAACCTTGCACTCTTTTGAATTTCGCCCCTCCCTTCGGCAAATCATGGCTTCACCATTGACAACATACATGTTAAACATGCTTCTTAGAACAACACAAGAGATTACACATGTAAAAAAACATCACAACCCTATAAGGCTACAAATCCAATATGATTCTTCAATCATGGAGGACCCTTAGCCCTAAACCTAATGCGTTTGTTGCACTGAACTATCTCAGACTGAACTAGTTTCAAAGACTAAACTGGATTAACTTGCCATGGACTAAGCAGGTACTAAAATTGTAAAATGTTTGATGTAGGACTACCTAGGACTAAATTTTATTTTTTACTTGTATGAAAACTTCCTTGTCTAAAAAAACCTTTTTTTTAAGAGAGAAAAGATGCCTTATCTAGAATATCATTCATCTTAGAAAACACAACGGGAAAAGGACTTTGCTATACATGAAAGTCTACATATTTATTCACCATCATCGGCTATCAATGCATTTACAAGTTGCAACTACTTGTGCTTAAACTTGAGTTCCTTCACATATTCTTCAGTGCCCTTCAACTACTTGTGTAGATCTTGAGTGTTTCAATTGGAACTGCACAGGCATAGAGTGTCCACAATATGTAAACCCATGACAAAAAGAACCACACTATGCTCTAAAAGTGTATGACATCTGAAACTTTTGGGCTCACAAGCACAGAGTCAATTAGCATATATGCAGAAGAAAAAGCCTTCGACACAGACATAAGGTCTGGTTTAACGTTCTACTTGTCACACTGTTTGGACACGATTTTACATTTTCGGCCTAAGTGATCGAAGCCATCGATGATTATGAAAATTAAGAGATTTTTCTTGGAATTACTATTAATTTTAATCATAGTAATTATCTTGAAAATATCCTTAAAGCTTGCAGAGATACTTGTGGGATTCTTTTGTAGATTATCAAGAGTTTTATTGGATCATGGAGAAATTAAAAGAGATTGCATAGCTGGTTGCTTGCTAACCCTTTACAATTAATGCGGCAGTAAGGAGAGTTCCGTGCAGCTTGGTATCTAGTCAGTTTCATGGGTTCCATATTTGAATGGATGCGCATGCATAACCACGTGGAACAATGGGATAAAGGTGAAGTAAAAATGGTGATGTGCTTGAAAGATGTTTCTACATGTGGTGGTGAGAAGATGGCAACAATTATCTTGTTGATTATGCTAAATGATTTAGCATATTGGTATAAGCTTTTGCATCGTGGCTCAGCATGTGGTTGTTCATAGAACCAGATTCACTCAACATGGATGTTTGGGATAATTAGCAATAAGAAGTCTAAATAGGCTTAGGCTTTTGAGAGTTTGAGTCTCAGTTGGTTTCTATGAAATCATCAAGGCCACGCCAAACGGGATCATGCATATTTGAGAGAATATTCCCATTTTTTCGTAACTTATGACGGCAATCCTAGGGTTACTGGTGAATTATAAATACATAAGCAGTGACAACATTTAGAGCCCCTCCAATTCAACACACAAACTACCCTGCGCAAACTCTCGCTCTACGAGAAATCTCTCAACAACCTTGAGACTTTTATTTTCCTTTTTCGCCAACACATCTTCAGTTTGGATAAACAGCACTGTGAAGGCAACCGGGAACATCTTCAGTTTGGATAAACAGCACTGTTGCCAGCAGAATCAGGCGACCACGAAGCACCTTCAGTTTGGATAAACAACACTGTGTCGAGGTTGACTGATTACCTATCCAAGTCTCGGCCGACAAGGATTTTCGAGTCTTTGTTGGTGGAGGTCATTCCATTAGCCTTCTTGGTGAAGTGAGGTGTTTCAAGTTATTGGGCTCGGCACATTGAACACCGAGTTGTTTATGATTGGATATTCACAAGTAAGTTTTAGAGTTCGGCATTCTGACGGCCGAACCACATTCACCATCAAGACATGTATCTCTTTCGAGTACTTGTGTCCGTATAGCTTGGTGCCAGTTCGGTGTGCTTATACTCTCACGAATATAATCAGCATGACCAAACCCGACGCTGACGATCAGTGAACTTCGTAAGACTAGCAGCCTTGTCTTTAGGCTTTAGAACTCGAAGGCCGAGACGTGTTCCTTCCTCGGCCGCAGTTGCAAGATCAAGAAGTCAATAGCGCCCAACACAACATCAACACATTTTACTCCTTGGCCGAACTCGGCCGACTCGAGTTGGCATGCCCCGCACACAACCGAATTACGTAGTTAGCTTATTAATTACCCGCCCTGCGTGCCATGTAGGCTTGGTAGTTTTTAAGGTCAACATTTTGGCATGCCCATTAGGACCTAGTGCTAAAACTATGAAGTTCACATGATATATCTTGACTAGGCTTCATTGGACGAGATTTGTCGCGTATTAAAGGAGCAAGAAAAACTCCTTGAGAAGTGGTGTAGAATTTTTGAAAGGCAAGAAGCTGGGGGCCAATTTTCCACTCCGATCACAATCAAAATTCGGCCTAAAAAATTGTCAAGAAGGGCGAAGAAAAACCGAGGCCACCTATTTTTTTGGTCGAGATTGAGAGTGTGGTAGGCCTAGAAGAAAAAGTTCAAGTTTAGAGCCAAAAATCGACTTAGAAAATGATTCATTAGAGGAATGTTCCATTGATGAACAAGACTAATACACAGCTTCAGATGAAAAAACCACATCAATTGATATGGTCATTGGAGACATAGGCCTAGCCGAAAAAACCACGCCACTCAATATGATTATTGGCAATAAGGCCGATATGGAGAAATCCCGTTCAGCTAAGTTGTTCAAGTTAAAAGCCGAAATTGGTGAAATAATTATGCACGGGAAGCTTAATTTTTCAATGCATTCGACAAGCCGAAAATAAAAAAAAAAATTCACCAAGACAACAGTATTTGGATATGATTCTTTATTCGGCTTAGAAAACGTTGATATCAAAGTATCTTGGCTCGAAATAAAGTACCGTTGACCTCCTCCTTTTCATGGATTGGCCACTTTTATTTTCATTTGCTAATATATATATATATATATATATATATATAATAAATAAATTATTTTCTTAACCATTCGGCCTTTCAGGCCGATGCATAAGAAAATAGGGGGCAAATAATATCTCTTTATTCCAAGTTTTAACAGCCGAGATAATCAAGATGTTATTTGATGGAATCATGCATGCTGGAAACAATGATTGCTATTGGAAAAAGGGTGCCATGGTGAAGGCCGAGACGTGTTTAAAATGGTGACTATGTAACTAACACTCGACCTGAGGAATTTTGCATGGCACCGAGGTATTTGAATAGCAAGACTCTGCCCTGGTGTCCTACCCATGGTGTGGGTGTGCTTGCT